AAAAAGCCAAAAGGAAAACCACTGCATTACAATTTCTCTACATACCAGCAAGCTCCAAATTAGATCGTCTAAAAGCTGTGCTAGAGGTACTATTTTTATTCTTCTACGTCTTTGCACAAGGATGTTATATAATTGCAGTTGTAAAAGAAGTTATCCATTTGGCTGTATGTGGGAGGGAAAGTGGTACATGACACTGCATTAAAATGCACAGAATGGGCCAAAAGCAATTAGTTAGATACATTCTTTTGCACTACCTTTGCTTCTCATATCCTGCCCAGAACAGGGTTGTCAGACTAAAAACATGATCTCGGGTCACTTTTTTCTACTCTTTTATTTCTGTCACCTCTTGGCTTCCTGGACTTGGCATTTGATGATTCTCCCTTTGAAGGCAGTAACAATATCAATAGAAATATGTTCAATACTGGACTGATAATCAAAAATCCATGACGATCCCAGATTGAACATACCACACCATCTGTTAATGGCAAATAAACATTCACATCAGACATCTGACTTCCATGCTCTTTGTAGTTGTTTTATTGTAGATGATAATCTAAGGCCTGACATTGTTTAATGTAAATTTTGCCAGCTGGCTCTGAGCCTTCTACAGGCCATGGTAGCATTTAATTGTTGGAAGAAATAATTGCATTTCATTATCTTACTTCTCTCTAGGTTATGGTGACATTCATCACACAGTACTGCTGACTGCAGAAGTTGGATGCACTTCATAACATCCCCTCTCCCCCATTTAATCTGGTCAAAGCCTGCAAAGAACACATCTTTATGGCATTTTAAGATCACCTGTCAATTGGAAATTAAGCTTAATCAGCAAATCTGAAGTCACAGCAAACACTCCAGCATTTATATTGGCAAGAAGCCCAGGTATTAATCAAGGGTAGTAGTCCTTCCACAGACCTGTGGACACCTCTGTGGACAGAACACAGTAAAGTCCCTTTAGGAACCTGGGCTGCTCAGAGGAAACAGTCCAGACTGGTGCAGTATATACTCACAGTGTCCTGAGAGAGAAGTCAGTTTTTGGGCTATGTCTGCATAGTATCTATGGGATCCTGGCCAGTATCAGGTGTTCCCTGCAGCTACCACAGCAACAGCCAGAAGCAAGAAGGCAATGCTGAGACTAGAAAGACAGGAAGAGCAGAGTTCCCTATAATATAAAACAGACATAAAACTTAAGCCCTATGTGTATATATGTAGAGATACACATAGAGACATGCTCTTTGTATCAAAGCTTTGTGAAGTTCAAGCCTTTGCTCCAAGTTTGTTAGACTCCAAGGGTTCAGCTCCTGGACAACTGCAAAAACAGTATCCAAGCTGTTAGCCCAGGGTGATGTGAAGATAATTCAGCAAAACCCTGCGTCATTTCAGACGAAGCTAAGCTGCATTATCTCAGATTTGCTGGGGAGCGAGGGTGTCCACATAAGACTGTTTCCATGGCTCAGCTGCCACAAGGGAATTTCTTAAGTAACTTGACTGAATCTGAGCTCTCAGACCTAGAGCTGACCGATGTCTATCTTTACAAATGTTACGGAGTGGCTTGGAGAAAGCCAGACACTTTTATACCTTTTACCTCCAAATATTTACCATCTGTGCAGAACAGCATAGATAGATGAGTGACTCATGACTCAACCCAGCAGCTCAGACCACTCATCAGGAGAGCTAGAACAGAAGTCTCCTTCCCTCCAGAAGCCAGCACTCTCCACTCCTGCGTGTTACCCATGACCTGCAGAATGGACAAAACAAATTCATCACATGAGAGACTCTGGTAAAAAAAAAGATCTGAATAAAATAAGTCAGCCCAAACAGTTGTTTCCTCCATTGCTTTCCTACAATGCTCATGTGTATCAAGAATTTGTTGCAAACACTTTAATGTTCCTTAGAAGCAATTTTTCCTTCTATGTAAAAAATGTGAATTGTCTTTTTTTTTATTTTTCACAAGGCCTCCTTAGTTATTCCTCTCCCTTCCCTATCTATTAGGATTTTAATTTTTCTTTGGCTTTTAAAAAGCAAAATGTTTCATTCCAATTAGAATCGGATACATTATTTCTGATTCCGAACAATACCCCTCCATTTTACATCTGCAAGGACTGTCCTTGCATTTGGATCTCTGCAAAGAACTATGAGGTACATAGATCTTATTGGCAGTGAAGCACAAACCAAAACGCTAAACTGTTCCTCCAAAACTTGGATATTTGCTGTCTAAATAAGACCTGTTCCCAAAAATGAATTCTGGCTTCTAAAACCAGATCTGGGATTACCATAGGAATAAACAGCTATCAAAAGTGTAATAAACCAGCAAATGCTGTTTTAAATTCCTCTGACAAGTATAAGGCAGTTGATCCTTGTTGCCCTCCTTTCTGCCTTTGCTGCACACACAGCAAGGTCCTGCAGTTCACAAGAACTGAGCTCAGAGCTCAAATAAAAAGCCACAATGAGCAGCTAGTATTTCTGTTCCTCATTCTCACAGAAGGTACCTTTACTGCCACTCTAACTCCCATACACTCCTAACATACCAACCATGGATGCAGTGATTGGAGACAGCAGTAGCTCAGAGATCACACTCCAAAACAGCAGAGCAGATCTCAACTACAAGGAGCCAAATTCTGTTTGCTAGCAGTGCAAGCAGAAAGCACATGGATTATGAGTTCAGCATGCATAAATCTGCTATCAGGCCTGCTCTTTATCATGCAAGTGGTCCCAAAGGTTTGCTGGTACTATTTCTAGGGAGATTCGTAACCTGCCTCCTCAGTCTGAATGCTGAAGTTCCTCAGCAGACTTGCTCCCTGCCAGTGTCCCCCATCCCCTGTGGCAATAATCACTAAAGCATCATTATGCCCTGTGTGAAGTGCTCCCTTTCATTTGCCCCACACCTGCTGCCTGATCTGGTCTTAGGCTTCGTGCAACAAGAAGCTTTTCCTAATCATCCCCCGGATACTGCTCTCTCCTCCACCATATCCTTTAGCCTTCCTTTCTTCATAGAACCATTGGAAGTTTTGGGGTGGAAGGGACTTTTAAAGATCACCTAGTTCAACCCCCTTGAAATAAGCAAGGACATCTTCTAGATCAGGTTGCTCAGAGCCCCATCCAACCTGACCTGGAATGTTTCCAGGGATGGGACATCTACCACCTCTCTGGGCAACCTGGGCCAGTGTCTTGCCAAAATAACTGTAAGAAATGTCTTCTTTAGGTCTAGGTTAAAGCTCCCCTCTTTTAGTTAAAAAACCATTACCCCTTGTCCTATCACAGCAGGACCTGCTTATAAAAGTCTGTCTCCATCTTTTATTCAAGTCCCCTTTAAGTACTGAGAGGCCACAACAAGGTCTCCCCTGAGCCTTCTCTTCCCCTCCCCATCTTTTCTGTAGGCCTCCTTCAAGAACTGGGAGGCTGCTCTGAGATCTCCCCAGAGCCTTCTCTTCTCCAGGCTGAGTAAACCCAGCTCTCTCAGACTTCCTCACAGCAGAGGGGTCCCAGCCCTTGTGTGGCCTCCTCTGCTCCAACAGGTCCATGTTGCCTCCTCTGGCCTGCTCCAACAGGTCCTTGCCTTTCCTGTGCTGAGGACTCCAGATCTGGACACAGCACCTCAGCTGGGGTTTCACCAGAGCAAAGGGACAGAATCCCCTCCATCGACCTACTGGCCATGCTGCTTTGGACACAGCCCAGGGTGCTGTTTGCTTTCTGGGCTACAAGCACACATTGCTGACTCATGTCCAGCTTTTCACCCAACAGAAGTCCCAAGTCCTTCTCCTCAGGGCTGCTCTCCATTCCCTTCATCCCCCAGGCTCCACTGACACTGCGGGTTGCCCGATCCAGGCACAGAACCCTGCACTTGGCCTTGAACCTCTTGAGATTTACATCTTCAAAGCGGAGACCGCGATCTTCCCTGACACGCAGCGTGCTCCCCACGCGATCGTGCTTCTCCCTGCTGCGGTCCCCGCTCGGCCGGCGGCTCTGTATTGATACTGGGGGTTGCCCAGACTCAGGTTCCTTGTTAAACTTAATGAAGTTCATGAGGATCTTGCAGTTACTCTCTGGAATTGGGTCGGTGCATGGTGGCAGTGCTGTGCCTCTGCTGTGACGGAGGCCAGCAGTGCTCTGAGGTGTACGAGGAAGCAGGGAGCCAGCATTTTGAGGGAGATATAAATTCCCCTCTGGTCAGCACTTGTTAGATTTTGTCTGGAGTACTGAGTTCAGTCCTGGACTCCCCTGGACAAAAACATCATCATTTTGAAGCAGGACCACCAAGCTGGTCAGGGGCTGGAGCGTTGTGATGTGTGAGGAGGGGCTGAGAGCTGGATGTCTTAAAAGTAGGAGACAGCCTCGTGTCATTGTTACAGGCAGGGGTAGAGAGTATCGAGCCAGACTTTTGAAGGTACACGATGAAGGGGCAAGGGCCACCTTTTCTTTTTCACCATGAGGAGGGTCAGACATGGGAATGTGCCCACAGAGGGTGTGGGCCAGTTCCTAGGCACTGTTGAATTGATTAGAGGAGATGTTGCATCTCAAATGCAAGCAAAGAAATCCCCTTGGCTCAGCAGGTCTCTGTGCACTGTGTAAAAGCTAGAGGGAGGTAGGAAGTGTCCTGCAGATGGTAACTGTCCCAGATGCCTGTTCCAGGGGGAGCACACACCTCTTGAACAGACTTTGCTGGGTGTAGAAACAGGTGAGGAAACTTGTACACATGACCATGTACCACGGGCTTTATTTGTGTCTGCACAAAACCACAGCCACGGGCACACATGGGTCAGCCTTTGCCTTTGTTGTGCTGAAGACAAGGCTGCTCAGCGAGGTGAAGTAACACCCTCATCTTCTTCAGGCTGGCCAGAACAGCTCCCGAGGGGCCACTGCTCTGCAGGTCTCCTCAGATGAGAGGGTCTGAACCTATGCCTTTGTCTCAGTCTTCATGTACCAGGTGCTGCTGTGTCCTTAGACTGTTCCCTGCCACTACTTTAAAAACCACTCATCTGTGTTTTTTTCTCTTTCCACAGCTTGAAAGTTAAATTGTACTGCTCACCAGTAACTAAGGAATTGCTGTTGACTAACTGGAAATACAAGTTTTGGGAGAATCACATTGTGAGTTTTTGTTTATTTTTAACACTTTCCAAGCAGTGATCCTAGGGAAGAGGAAGCTTTCCCTCTCCAGAAATGCCTAAATGTTGGTGTTGATGCAGTGTCCCAGGGCTACATCAGTGTGCCTTTCCTTGCTGCTGCCTGTGGGGGACTGCCCTGTTGTGTTTACTATTTAATTGTATTTTTCCCCTCACAAAATTTATCCTTTTCTCTTAACTTCAGTTTTAAACATGCTCTATCTGTACATTGACCATTTGTATCGTTCCTTCATTTCCTTACTTGCTCATGTCTCTGCTTCTGCCCTTAATTAATTTCTCTTTTGCTTCATTCAGAGTCTCAAGTCTTGGGGTATGTATAATCTTTTAGTTATATTATTTTGCTTTTTGGAAAACGGACTGTCTCTAACATGAAATTATTTTAGTGATGTAATGTCACTGAAAAACTTAATTACTTTACTTGATTTCCACTGTTTGGAGCCAAACTTGAGGTGGTCAGTGGCCATGTAGGGGTGTGACCTGTAGCTGTTTCCTTCCCTTTGCAGATGCGGGCTTTGAAATTGAACAAATTTCTGTTGACGTCTCACTGTGTGTACATAAATCATCACATAGTGTAAGGATCTGGCTGTACCCCCCAAGCAAGGAGAGGAGAGTTTTCTAGTCAAGTGGAAGGTCAAGAAGGACCTCAGGCAAGCTGCAACTTGTTTTCTTGGGGGAGTTAAGGCTCAGAGTTCCCTTAAATAGGTTGCAAGTGTGGGTCTTAAGCTCTGTGTCCCAAGAAACTCATACGAGCGGGACCTAGGAGGTAAATCTGGGTAGGATCAAAAAGAGAAGTAGGGGACTTTTCCTAGGCCTGGTTTGGTTGTGAAGCTGAGGGAGAAGATAACTAGCTTTATATGAAGCCCTGAGAAATGAAAGGATTTAGCAATCTGGGGAGCCAGCATGGTTCAGGGCTCTGTAAAAAGGACACTGAGCATCCCTTAGGTTTGTTTGATGTGTGAAGGATCACGGCATGTAGAGGTGACAGTTTCTAAGCCTGTAATCTTCTTGGGCTACCAACAATAAAACTGGATGTGTTTATGGTGGAGTTTTTGCTGGTGTTGGCTGCATTTCTTTTTATTTTTAAGCTTAAAATAAACAATAAAGCTGTCTGTTTATTTCTAGTATTGTTTGAGTTTATCTTAGATGAAGAGGTCCCTTGTGAGGAGGTATCTGTAAGCTATTAGCAGTTTGTATGAACAGCAGAAGGAAAGTAGGCAGTGCTGGTCCTGCCATCCCTGAGTTTTTTGAGAAAATCTTAATCTAGAATGAGATGTCAGAGGTACCTGTGGTACAGTCTACTATACTGTTCTGTTCCTGTCTGACCTTTGTTTGTGTGTGTGGCATAAGAGGCTCTTTGAATCTGCTGCTGGCTTGAACACTTACACAGTCAAAGGTGAGGGAGAGCTCTGCTGGGGATATTGTCATTTATGTTTATGAAGCTAAATGGTGCCTGTCAGTGAAGGATTCTTTGGGCAGTTCAGATCTAAAACATGACAGTTGTTTCACTGCAGTAGGAAATTTGAGAATTACTGAGAAATATTAAGCACGCAGAATTTAGATCAGCCTCTTGAGTTTACTCAGCTTCAGAAATTGTCAATGATAAAATTAGTATCTATGTTTAAAAAATCAGCTCTTGCCAGTGGCTTGAATTGTGAATATAAAATGCTTTTTGGCATCTGTACCTGTGTCTGGGAGGAAGCTCTGGGTTTGAGTGACATTGTGGTTTCTGATGGAGAAGCCAAATATTTGTGTGAGTGTCACCTTTGTGTGAGTAGCAGCTGAAGGGATCTTGTGGAGCTGCCCAGGAGACCACTCGGCTGAGAAGCTGGAGGTTGTACCTAAGTAGGGTGGTGAGAGGAGACTTTTCTTTCCCTGTGGCTTTTTTGGGTAGGAGAATTATATACAAATATTGTCTGAAACAAAGGAAAAAAACAAACCAGGAGGATGGAGAGGAGCCTGAATAGCAATGCTAGCCTTGCAGCCAGCCACAGAGTGTGTATGCTGCAGGACTCTGTAGTCCAGGATATGGCAAAATGGGGGATTAACTGGGGTCTGGAGATTAATCATCTTTCCACAAACACAGAAATCTGTGCTCTTGAGTCACCCCAAAAATAATGCATATGATCCAGCCAGAGCTGTTGCTGTTAGAAATCCAACATGTTCTACGTTTTTTAGGCACATATGCCTTGATTGAGGTGTCTCTATTTCATTTTTTAGACAATTTAGGAAATTTTTTTCCACTGGGAACGTGAGTTCATGACTTACTATGGGAAAAGGAACCTAATTTTATAGGCTTAGCATTAGCCACAGTGGGTGCTAGAGAAGTCTATGTACTGAGGACTTAGTTATAGACATGACACAGATTGGTCAGTAAATCCTGTTATGCGTTTATTCATTTTATTACAGGTTGCATTGGAAGTTGAAACTCCAACTCAGATTTCTTTAGTAGATGAGGCATCTGGTGAGGTAAGTTACAGAAAAAATCATGTTTTAATGGGCAGTAAGACAGTTGAGATGAGGATGGGATGTTACAGGTAAGAGCTGCTTCCCAAGTGGACCAGCAACTTTTAAAATGTGTGTTTCCCCTTTCTCCAAGATGTGCAGCATTATGGATTCTTTTTCCCTGATTTGTTCTTACTAACAGCATTTTTTGGTAATGCCTTTCCAGGGTATTAGTGATTACCAACTTGTCTGTTGCTCTTGTGATTTGTTTTTAGTTCCTGACTTATTTTAGCAAGCTTTAATGGTCGGATTTAAAGGTCTGGTAGGGCAGCTCCAGGCAAAGTCTATACCAGGATATTTCCCTGGTGGTAGTGGCTGCTTGGTGGGTGAAAGGCTGGACGTGAGCTGGCAATATGTGCTCACAGACCAGAAGGCCGGTGGTATTCTGGGCTGCATCAAAAGCAACGTGGACAGTGGGTGGAGGGAGGGGACTCTGCCTCTTTTCTCTGCTCTGGTAAAACCCCAGCTGAGGTGCTGTGTCCAGATCTGGAGTCCTCAGCACAGGACAGACATGGACGTGTAGGAGTGGGTCCAGAAGAGGCCACAAAAAACATCAGAGGGCTGGAACCCCTCTGCTGTAAGGACAGGCTGAGAGAGCTGGGGTTGTTCAGCCTGGAGAAGGCTCCACGGAGACCTTACAGCAGCCTTGCAGTGCTTAAAGGGGCTTATAAGAAAGATAGGGACAAAGTTTTTAGCAGTGCCTGTTGTGAAAGGACATTGGGTGATGGTTTTAAACTAAAAGAGGGGAAATTTAGACTAGATATAAGGAAGATATTTTTTACAATTTTTACAAGGATGGTGAGACCCTGGTTCAGGTTGCCTAGAGAGGTAGTAGAAGCCCCATCCTTGGAAACATTCCAAGTCAGGTTGGACAGTCCCTGAGCAACCTGATCTAGCTGAAGATGTCCCTGCTCACTGGAGGGGGGTTGGACTAGATGACCTTTGAAGGTCCCTTCCAGACCAAACCATTCTATGATTCTATTCAAGGAAGTAGGACTGTGGATGCTCCATCACTGGAGGTGTTCAAGACTGATTGAATGGGACCTTGCACAACCTGGTCTAGTGGGTGGGGTCTAAACCCATGGCAGGGGGGCTGGACATAGATGATTTTTAAGGTCCCTTCCCACCCAAATCCTTCTACAATTTTATGACTGTCCTCTGGCTGACTTGCTGTTATAAGCACCATGCAATATCCAGTCATCCCTTCTGGGGTGACAGGATGGTCGTTGTTCTTCAGGGCTTGTTGGAATGTGAAGAGACTGTATTCAAAAGCAACACTAACTGCTGCAAGAGGCTGTGGGGAGTAATGAGTTGCTTTCACTGTGCCAGTGAAGGCAGTGGTAGTACTTACTACTGAGTGAAAATAATGCTAACTCATCCCTTCCAGAAAGAAGATATAGAGGTGACACTTCTTCCAGCTGGTCACTGCCCAGGATCAGTCATGTACGTCTTGTCAATACTGTAAATGTCTCCGCTGATAAACTTGTCAGATAGAGTTCTCACTAAGTACTGTGGTGGGTTTTTTTCTAGCTAGAAAAAAATAGTGAATTTAAAATTCTTGCTTGGGGATAATACCACTGTGGCAGGGTCTTGGCCCTGGTTGGGAAACCACTGCACTGTCTGGGATCTCTCTAGACAGAAGCTGTTACCTTGGTGGGGCAGATTACTTCTCCCCATGCCTATGAATAACAACTTTCTTGATGTCAACAATACTTAAAAATGATGTAGGAAGCTGTGATTAAAAATAAATCCTCCATTTCTGAAGTATGACAGTAAAAAGAAGGTGCCCAGCTTCCTGGTACAGACACCTGATAGATCCCTCTGGGCTATGCTCACAGAATCTCTGAGGCTTTTGTTTTCAACTCTGCCCAGCCTCAGCACAGCTTATTTTCCAGACATACTGAGTCTGAATTATCAGGTTTGTCTGAAATTGCTCTAGGATCAAATTGAGCCCAATATTTCTCATATGTCATACGTCAGTCACACAGAATACAGCTGGCTCTAAGCGAGGTAAGAAGTCAACACCTGGCATGTAGCGTTTTATATTGCTGAGTTTGACCAAAGTGTTTCTGTTGGTAGGTTTTTGTTTGAAGGTGGAAATGGCACCGTGCTGTATACAGGGGATTTCAGGCTTGCAAAGGGAGAAGCAGCCAGAATGGAACTTCTGCATTCAGGGACCAGGTGAGACTTTCATGAACTATTCATGGGATTTAGAAAGAGTAAAAGATCACACAGGCATGGACTATTGGGGAATGACACACTTTTTTCCCCATTTGTTTTAATTCTGGATTAAATGTATCTGCAGTCAGGCAGTGCTGCAGTTGGCAGGCCCTTTTGACTTGCTCTTTGTAACAGAGAGGAAGCGATGCCCTCTGAAGAGGGAGGAAGTGGTGCAGTGCTCACCCTGACAGCACATTTCTCTCTTTCAGAGTAAAAGACATCCAGAGCGTGTATTTGGACACCACTTTTTGTGATCCCAAATTTTATCATATACCAAGCAGGGTAAGTCTAAATAAGCTGTGAGAGGAAAGGTCCTTAAAGCTGCTAATTAATTAACCACCCCTTTGTTAGGTAAGTCTTGCAAGGCGATGCCATTTTGCATTACCAAATCACAGGACTTTGGAATCATCTTCAAAACCATTTCACAATGTTTTGTACTCTCTGCAGGAGGAATGTTTAAATGGGATTTTAGAGTTAGTGCGAAGCTGGACTTCACTGACTCGTTATCATGTGGTGTGGCTGAACTGCAAAGCTGCTTATGGATATGAATATTTATTTATAAACCTCAGTGAGGAACTTGGAATCAAGGTAATATTTCTGTTGTTGTTGCTTTAGAGTAGATCCTCAGCAATGATAGTAGCCAGTCACTGAGCTGGAAATGGCTGTTCAAAGGACTGCTGTATGTGAAGGATATGCCTGCTGGGATTGATGTCACTTAAAAACCTACAACTGTGCTCAGACTGAGTTAACTAGTTCCTTTCAGTCTGGAACACATGAGCTCCCAAGGGCTCATGTTAATCCCCTGTTTTTAAGCTCAGTGTTTACCCCTCTTTATCTTGTGAATGGTCAAAGCCTTCTCATTTACACAGGACAGTAATAGTTAGCAGATATATTCTGACTTTCTTTTATTAATATTTGTCCCTCTTCAGCATGGGATTTATGTTGTGCTTCTTCTACATGTCCAAGTTACTCTTGACTAACACTTCTCCACTTGGACATTATTAGTGGGTCATAATTGTTTAAATGCCTACCAGCATTTGTTGAGAACAGAACCACATCTGTAGAGTTGCTCCAGCTGCAGTCTGGCAAAGACATCGAGCTAATTAAAACTAAACTCTGCCTTTCTCTAGGTGCACGTGAACAAACTTGATATGTTCAGAAACATGCCAGAAATCCTGCACCATATTACTACAGATCGACACACTCAGATCCACGCCTGTCGACACCCTCGGGTCTGTATCATCTGCAAAGCCTCTGCTACCTTTGCTGTGAAAGCCTGGTTGTAAGTCCTCATGTTTTGCTCCTGTTGTGCTAATGAAGACCTGGACCAAATGGCAGCTTAACTTACAGAAGAGTAAGAACTTTAGTTAGTGGGTTGAAGTTTTTAATTAAAAAAAAAAAAAAAGGGAAAAATGTATTAGCTGATGGTAGAAATAATTTAATTGTGTTTGAAAATGAAGACAAGCAGCAGAGTAGAACAGCCAGGTAGTATCCATTTAAATATATCACAAGCAGCTCAGATGGTGCCTCCTGCAGCATACAGCCTGTCCTGTCCAGGGTGCCTGTCAAGCTGGAGGCTCCAGCCTGGAAGAGTGCAGGTAGAGCTGGAGGTGGCACGCTGGGGCATTGGTCTCTGTGACTGACTTGCTTTGTCAGCTGCACTAGGGAAGCAAGAGGCAACAAGAAAGAGTTCCAAAAGAGCTGGAAGTGAGATGAACACTTGGTCTGGCTAGGTAGTATGTGCTCAGTTTCTGGAGGGAAAAAAGGCTCAGGATTACACTTAATTTTATCTCCCATCTGTCAGGATGATGACTGCTTTCGAGGGAACAGGCTGCCCTGTGGGATGACGTGCCAAAACGGAACTCCCTTGCACGTAATCAGCATCAAACCCTCCACTATGTGGTTTGGAGAAAGGATCAAGAAGACCAACGTAATAGCGAGGTGAGTGTTTGGGCTGTGCAGAAACCTGTTGTTTCAGGTGCCTAGCTCACCTGACACTTGTGGAACTGTATCTCAAAACAGACTTTAAGAGTAGGTCCTGCTTGCCTGTTGACTGAAGATGGAAAGCAGTTACCTAATTTTTATGCTTCCTCTGTATTTTTTTAGGACTGGGGAGAGTACCTACAGAGCTTGTTTCTCCTTCCACTCTTCATACAGTGAGGTTTGTATGCTTGTAGTACTGAATATACAGTGATTAAAAAAAAAATTGAAGTAGTTTTATTTTGGAGCTGATGACATGACTTGTCACAATAAAAAAAGACTTCTCAGTAGTATGACATAAGGTGATAGGAAGGTCTGGATGCTGAAGACAGAGAAGTTTGTTTTAATGTAGCTGCAGAAGAGCATGTTAAGTTTTAAAAGCCTGTTTTTTTGTTCTCTCTTCTCGAAGTGTAGGTCACTGTTACAGCTGTTTTGACTGCCTTCCTGTTTTACGGGATCGTGTAACTACACAATGCTTAAAGCTTGGAATCTTGTTTTTCAATACTTCATTTATCTGCTGTGACTCAGTTTTGGGTGGATTCGCTGCCTTTTCCCTGCACATTTAAATAGAATTTTCTCATGTAGTGGTTGCCACTGTTACTCCTCTTTGTGTTAAAGCCTGGAAGGAAATTGGTCATGGCAGCACCCACTCCAGAATCACACAACTTCATTTGATGTGAACTCAATCCAGTTCTTAAAATACTTATTTCTGTGAAGAAACTGAACTGAAACTGGATCAGTGGTAACAATTAACCTGTCACAAAGCCTTGCACGTACAAAATGGAGATTATTCAGAGCCCTAGGAACACAGCCCTGGTTTTAAGATCCCAGTTAAGTTTTACTTTAGTCTGCCAGGCAGAATTTTAAGCGGAGGTACGTGTGTAGTACATGCAAGATGGCAGCTTTGCTGGCAGAGTATGGGGGGTGCACTGTAACAGGCTTGGACCTCCATGTGTAAAAATAAATGGGCCCTACTGGTCTGTGTGGGTAGGAATGGAATCTGCAAACTTTCAAGTGTCTTCAGTGCTCAGCACTGGTAAAGCCTCAGCTGGAGTGGGCTGCCCCAAACCAGACACAATTCTTCAAGAAGTTTGCTGTCTGGAGAGCATCTGGAAAACAAGAGACTAAGGCCTGGAAAAGGTAATGTGTCCTGTAGTAGTGGGCTTTTATAGTGGACTGAAGGAGGACTTTAGGAAAAATGTTTTGAGGAAGAGAATAGCTGATGTGCACAACTAGGGACTTGAAGCCCAGTAAGCAAAACGCAGGTCTGAGAAGATCTACAACAGTGAGGACAGTGAAGTGCTGGATCACGTTCCCTAGGAGCGGGTCTGTCTGGCCTTCTCTTTCAGAGGTGGTGATGGTCTGTGTGGTTGGTCATTGCCATGAGGTGAGGCCAAGTCCTCAGCATCCTTTCAGACCTGTTTTGTTGTTACAGAGCTGTCTGCTTTGATAGAGTTTGGCTGATGAACCCTATTGGTCTTTACCTGAGACAGGTGGTAGCACTTGCAGGTGTGCTTTGATCAGTGCTGTCATTAAGTGAAATTGTTGATGTAACTTGTTAAATTGCTGCTTCTTTTCTTCAATTTAGATTAAGGATTTCCTGAGCTATATCTGTCCTGTGAATGTGTATCCCAATGTACTGCCCGTGGGTGGGACAGAAGACAGTGTTATAGAAATGTAAGTGGCCAGTGGCTGCTGAGTGGAGGTGATCTGATCTGATCCTGTAAGGACAACTCCCCTCCTGAATCCCAGCCTCCCAAGCACGTCTTTTGTGCCTTTCTGTCTTTGGCTTTACTTGTCTGATAATCAGATTTATTTTTTTTTTTATTTTCCATATTCAGTTCTGGAGACTTCAGCTCTCTGAACACTTGTACGTTGTGCTAAGTCTGAGAGTTTATGTTCCACACAGTACTTACATCTCTGTATAGAAGCTTTTCTGCTGTTGGACTCTATTTGGGTGGAATCTGAACACATGTTCATCTCACTTTATTTTGTGACTTATTTCTGTTTGTCATTGCTACTTCTCACAAGTTTTTTTTTAAGAGGGTTTCAGCTGCCTGAGCTCACCAGTGTATCACAAACTTTTTCCAAGCTGTTGCTGCCTTTGCTTTAATGCTTTTGCTGCAGTGCCTGTGAAAGGCATGAACTTAGATCAAGTTAAAAGATGTACTTTTTATCTTGATAGTATCTGCCGAGTTCTAACTATTAATGGCTTTTGTCATTCACCTCAGATTAAAGCCATTATGCAGGTCGTACAGGAGAAACATGGAACCCAGGTACAAGCCCTTAGGAACACTGAAGAGAGTCCACAAGAGAGACTTGTCTGATACAGGTAAAGGTTCTGCTGGTGCTACTGTGCCTCAAATGGAAGTCTGAGACTAAGCAGAGGTGCCAAAAGCCACAGTGTTCACTGTAGTCTGTGTTCAAAGCAGCAGTTAGAGAGACAAGTTAAATCAACTGAGGTCTTAGGAGGGTGAAAGAGCACTGACTGTGTGCTTGTCTGACGTCTTAAAATGCACTTACTGCTCACCAGCCCTTTAGTTTCAGAAGATTTCCATCCTACACTCCTAGACCATTCCCAGTGAAGGTTCTTGTAAGCCTGCTTGTGCCACCTCCTGTGCTCTGGAGGACAGGGTGGTGTGGCAGTGGCACTGCCCCTCTGCGTGACCTCACCCTGCTGGCTTTTTAGCACCTAGCAGCTTTTTTAACTTCAGCTGGTAAATGGATGCCCTACAAAGCCTCTGGAAGGCCACTTGGGCACTCGAAGCCAGCTCTGGGCCTGATGCATTCTCTTTGGCTGTTTCGGAAGTGCCAGGCAGGCAGGGGTGATGCAGCCCTGGGAGATGGGTCAGAGGCCTGACTAGAAGTGCCTGCCAGGGCTCCGTCTGGGCTGCTGTGGCTGTGGAGGGGGGCAGCTGGCAGCCTTCCTTGTGGGGCACTGTGCTGGGCAGGCAGGGCAAGCTGTCGGTCGTGGCCTGCTCAGTCTCCAACTGCCTCAAAGAACCTTTTCCTCTCTTTATACTAAACGAATTTTTGTTAAAGCTTTGCTCTCAACAAAGTTTTAGCAGAAATGTGAACTTTTCTGAGCGTGTTTTGTTTTGTTTCCTGTTTTATTGACAGATGAAGATGATCTCTTTGATTCAGAATTAACTTCTGCACGGCCCAAGATTCCAAAACAGCAGGGAGCAGAGAGCAGGCCCCCCAGCACAGGGCAGTCTGAAGGAAACATTCCTAGGAGCACAGAAAGTTACAGTGTGACCACACCTTACACCCCGCTCAAGGCAGACTTCATGGACTGTGAGGAATCAAATGATGATGATGACGACGACGATGATGAAGTATCTGAAAAAAAGCCAGTTCAAGTTCCTTCCCATGAGCCAGATGGCTCATCAAATTTCAATGGAGTAACTGGTGACTCACAGGAGCCTAATGCCGACATCCCTCGCTGGGATGCATTTTTTAAGTGTAACAAACTAGAAGAGAGCTCTGAAAATGAGGACAACTTCCCATCTTCAGCAGATGCTGGTGGGTCCCAGTCCCTCTTCAGTGATTCGGATGGAGTGAGTGACTCAACACACATCTCCTCCCAAAATTCTTCTCAGTCAACACACATATCGGAGCAGGGGAGCCAGGGCTGGGATAGCCAGATGGACACAGTCCTCCTCACCTCCCAAGAGAGGAGCGCCTTGGACTTGAGCTGCTTCAGCAAAGGTGGGGGCAGAGCAGTCGCTGCTGTGTCGCAGGAGACGGCCAAGGACAGTCCCCCTGACAAGAGCGGGAGGCAGCCACCGGCTCAGATCAGATCCTGTGCCTGTGATGGTGCCTGGGACTCGAGAGGCAGAGGCTGCGAGAGGGACGCAGACACCGGCGCCGCTCAGGTTCCAGACGTGCTGGTGGAAGTAAGTGACAGCTCCAGGACTCCCGAGCTCGAGCTGAGGAAGGACTCCCAGAGCTCCTCTGACTTCGAGATCCCCTTGACCCCCGGTGCTGAGGTGCCTCAGCCAGACAAACTGCACTCTCTGTACAAGAAGCTAGCAGCAGGTGAGAACATACTCAGTGAGAAAAAAAGTCTCCCGAAGACAAGTACAACTGATTAGCCATCATGATTACAAATACTGACAGTTGTCTATTAGCCCCAAGATTACTTTTCTCTTTAGTGCTGATTACTGTCTGCAGCTATGCTCATTCATGCAGATTTTTCAGCATGTTTTTTACTGTCAGAACTCGGAATTTGCTGCCTGTGTAACTTTACTGTTCCTTCCATGAACTATTGAAGTGTTCCTAGGAGAGACTGTAAAAGCCTTTTGTCTTCCAAGGTTCTGTTCTCCCAGACTGTAAGTGGACAACAAATGGACCAGACAGAACTAAAGGTAGAAAACAAAATGAAATTTAGTGGTTCTTTTTTATCATGAGCTCTCAAAGAGTTTGCCTTTGATACAGATGTGATGTCAGGTTTTAATGAAATATTGCATTTTTAACTGTGGGAACATGACATGCTTCAAGAACAACTACACAAACAATGCAATCATTGCACTTTCACTGCAGTGACTTTTAAAAGCAGCTGCAGAAGAGATTTGGGAATCACTGAGAAGTTTTTCTTTTGAATGTAATTGTTCTTTTCAAGCAGTCCCTCTACCTCAAACAAGTGTTGTCATCCAATTTTAACCCCTCATGGTTTAAATCAAACTCATTGCAAACAACTTGTCACTTCCTCCATGTTTTGGTATGTTCTGATATTTTTTTTTTTTTCCTAGAATTGGAAATAAAATCCTGTGGCTCCGAAGCCCCCAGCAGTAGCCTGCTCTGGAGGTGAACTCACAGCAACAGAAGCTAATGTCTTGGGTGAAAACATGTCCAGGCTAACAGTCTTATGTTACCAGGGTTCACCTCCTCTGCAACATTCTGCTGATTTCACTGAATTCAGACTTGTTTAGATTTCTTTTTTAAATTCAAGACAGTAAGATCCTCCATGCACGTGTAACATCGTAGCTCTTTGCCAAAATTCTCAGCTTCTAAAATGGATGCAAGTCAGGTTTTTGGTAAACCTTAGCACTTACAAAAAAATGCCTAAACAGCAGAATCGGCTAAAAATCCATGAGGTTTCCTATCCCTGTGGCCTGAAGTGCCAGAGACAGATGTGAACAAACTTTTGGTATGACTGTCTTCAGCCTTTCTGCCATCTTTAGTGATCTGTGATGATCAGTCTGCTGCTGGGAACGGCAGCAGGAGAGGAAAAGAAATGAAGGAAGGAAAATGGCTATTATCTCTGCATGGTTTTACATGTCCATGTATTTCTCCACAGTCAGCTTGCCCACTCCATTCCTGGGATCTGTTAATGTGACTTCCAGATGTGGTCTGTCAACATTTTGGTTGGTTGATTGCTGTGTTTTATTTTGGTTTAAAGCAAGTCTGAGTGAGAGAAACTGCTGTTTTTACTACCTCGTGAATAAAGTCATGCAGAGCAGAGTTTCAGCTTTGGCTTGTTCCCTTAACTGTACTAGGCATGCAAGCTCAGGGCTGCATTTATCACGTCCTTAAATACATAGGAACCCGTCCTGCTTTAACCAGTGAACAGTGTAAATTTGTACCAGTTATCAGCCATAAACTGACTAGGAAACACACAACTTCCTCAGGATTGCTCTACTATAGTCCTTAGAGTGCTAGAAAATTTGGGTACAGGACAGGAGATAAGAGGTTGAAGTCTTAAAGCAAATTCTACTCCTCCAGCTACAGCTGATTTTGACAGGCCAGGATTATTCTTTTTCTTAAGAATGACAACAACGAGAGAAAAACTAAATTTAATTTATTTTATCAAAAACTATAGGAAGATAGCAATACTGGAGATCACACATTCTGAAAAGAAAATGTTCCTGAGCTTACAAACTGCATATTCTAATGTACGCAGTCCTAAAACATACATTAGAAGTAACCAAAAGATGGACTTAACTTTGAGATTAAATAAATAAACAATAGCTTTCCTTACAGGTGACCTTGCAGCTTTAGTTTTGCTGCCAAATACATACCCCAAAATTCAACCCAATAAAAGACTGCTAGAGGACAGATCACAGGTTACCAGGCTCTAAGAAGTGATCATACACCACTGAACTGGTGGCCACGATGTCGCCAACGGGACCACAAAGCAAAACCAAGGCAGAAGCCAGGCTGGCTTAGGCTCTGTAAGAAAATGAAAACAGCTTCCTCTCCTTTTCCAATCAGGTGACTTCACATCCCTTCCCCCTCCCAACTCATAAAAACAGCAAAAGGAGTTTTAGAAGTCACACAATGTCCCATCAAGCAAACTCGCTGACTGCGATCCAAACGCACTGTGAATATTCAATAGCAAATACTGTTCAAGGCTCTGAACTGGAAACTGGATACATGGGTTTACTTCAAATAAATACAAAATAGTTACCTCCCAGAACAGACATTAACGGTCCTTTATTTGCTGCACAAGAGGTAACACACATCCTGAAAGCAGAGCAGTGTTACTCCAGTGCTGGTGGTAGCACACGCGGCCCGGGGAGAAAGGCAGACACCGAACCCAAGCACAACTACTAACATTTGGGTCTTTTCAAATGTATTTACTCGTGATTTTTAAACCAAATGGGAACGGACGTAGATGGAGAGAGCATGAAACCAGCTCTGGGTCACCTTGCACAGGAGAGGCCAGTTTGGTAGGACACCCAGTTCTTGCCACAGGCCCCCCCAGCAGCCCGCAGTGCCGGGGCAGGCACAGCCAGCAGCGGGTAGGGAGCTGGAGATGCACCCACGTGGGAGCACCACTGAGTCGGGCTACGTGCAAGAGAAACAGCCCCAGATGACACAAGATCATCTGCAGTTTGACACCATTAGAGCTCCACATTCCACCTACAAGTTATATATTTAATATATTTTTTTTTAAAAATAAAAAATTAAAAAAAAAAGAGATGTGGCATAATAAAAATTGTCTAGATTGAGCATTTATCCACGTGTATGGATTCAGGTGAGCCTGGTCACATCAAATACTTTTACATCAAAGCAAACTTTTCCCTATTCACTAAACAGTATAAAAGTATCTCTTTCAGCCTGTATCTCTTCCTGTTGCAGATTACAAAACTTACACAGCACATTCAGTGGCCCATGCTCATCACCCAACCACAAACTGATTTTGGCTAGGAGCACAGAAAATGTTGTTCTCTTGCCAAAGAGCCAGATCTTCAGTGCAAATGCAACTGTGCTTCTTAATGAATAACCAACCTGTATCATCCTTTGAAACACTCTTTTTGGAGTGTTAGTAATTACCATGGAATTTAAGGCATTTTCTAACAGATTAAGGAAACAGTTATACACTGGGAACTTGACCTCATTCACCTGAGCCAACAGCTGTGCACCTTATAAAGGTAACTCGGTGACCTATGATACATAGCTAGCATCCGTTTATGGAGCATCCATTTATGGAGCAACATTATTCTGCCTGACCCTATCAACATTTACACGATTTGAAAGCAATACGCAAGCTTTACAAGCTTTTAATCCATAAGAATAAAGCACTTGGATCATCCCTGGAGCATGAACCTTGGTTGTAACTCCGCTCATAACCTACCTCAACTGCTCTTCAGTGGTTTTGAAGCCAAGCAAAACTTAGCATACATTTTGAACAGATCAAGACAACTTGAAGTTGATCAGGAAAAGGAAAAAAATAAAAAAAGATGACTCAGGCAGCTGAAGAACAGTACATTTCTCAGCCTTTACATTCAAGAACATCTTACAAATGTCTACAGCAAATGGATAAGATCCCCCCATGTCTAACTTCACTGAAGTTAACATTTTTGCAACACGAAAAATCAGGCCTAGTATTTTAAAAGTCTGTCACTAGGTAAAAAAAGTCACAGTATGTAAAAGCTTAATCAAAACCAGTTGTGAATAAAAATCACCTCCCAGGGCACTTCTGCACCTAACAGATAACTGAGCATTATCTCCGTAACACATCAGCTTTGTCAGACAACGGGTGCTCTCCCTATTCTTATGTTACCTATTTCCAAGTGCAGCCAGTAATTTGTTTCAGCAGTGGCTGCCACATGCCTGCAATGAAAACAAAGGGCGTGCGTTACAACCCACAATCCAGTATTTACAAACGCTCTGTAGAACTGCAAACCTCCTATAGCATCCTAACTAAAAACAAAAAAAAACACAACTGAAAAAACTTCTATATGGAAAACTTCTGAATAACATAAAAATGTTTGAGAGCTTGATTTTACATCTGAAACCTGCTAAAACCAATTACTTGACTTGCATGGAGTTCAGCGGACATTTTGCAGTTTGTGTTCTGTCAATCTTCATCATTCAGACAGTCTTCTGGCTGTCCTTAATCCTTCCCCCTGGTGCCAGAAGTGTTGTTACTAATCTCTTGAAGCTTTTCTTCATACCACAAGATGCAAAACAATCATCAGCTATGATTTGGAATTCATATCAAATGCCTCCAGGCTTTCCAAGGTATAGAAAATATGTAACATCACTTCGTCCCACAGCTCCTAAAAGGCCTACGGCTGCAAGCTCACACTCCCATGTTCCAGTCAGGGACATTTTACCTTTGCATACATTTTACTGCTTCCTAAACAACAGTTCTAGAAAAATCAGTTTCTAATCCCTGCTTTCAGTTCTGTATTTGCCTGGAACTCTACATCTCTTTCTTTGGCCAATGCCACTTCAATTACAAATATAATGTCTTGTTTTCACTGTACTTATTTACATTAGATGTAAGAATACTTGACCATGTGTGTGAAAGAAGAGTCTTCTTTAAACACATTTAAAAGAGAACAAAGTATTTGTGGCTTTGGGTACCCGAACTCAGTTGAGGTAACCTCTGCAACACACCGCTCCACATTTACAGACAGTCCTGATCCTCTTTTTGGACGGGCTGAGACCCTCAGCAGAGTCTGACGTCAGATCTATTGAACCTGTGACACAGATAAACCACAAATAAGTTTTAAAAGACAGACTGAAACTGTGCTAGGTACTCAAATAGCTTCAAAAAGCCTGCCTTCTACCACCCCACTCCTTAAAAGGATGGGGTGTGAAGCTGTGCTCAAATGTTCTGACCCCCACGTAGGGAATACTC